GGTATATTGAATTATAATTATGAAAATATTAAAACAAATTGCTAATTAGTAATATGTGCTTATTAATGCATTTAAAGTAAGACAATACATTTAAAATCTAGGTAAGTTAAAATTCATTTTGTAAAAACATAATATGAAGGCCTTTTGATTGCTTGAATAAAAGCATTAAATTATGGCATGGTCTTTTACTTATTTCACATGTTGATCAGCAAACAATTAGAGAAAGGAAATATTGGAAAGCATTGATTTCTGGGTACCAGTGATACCTTACTATTCAATGAATAAACAACTAGGCTTAAAGTTGTCTAGTGGTTGATCAGTTATGTCATATGAACTTTTGGATATAGACAGAAAGACTTAGATAACATAGGTTCTAATGGTTGGTTTGATACCTATTATAATTTTGTAACTATCATATAACTATTATAATTTTGAAGTAGTGATGAGTTTAAATGATTTTGATATTCCTGTAATGATTGTAATGTGACATGAAAATATCTCCAGTTTCTGTGGCATACGAGGTCACAGATTTGGTTTGTTGCTTACATGCATAATGGAAAGAAATTCTAATTTATAGGTGGTATTTAGTGAAAATAAAGATGAGGATGTTTTTTCTCAATCCATTTTCAAAGTCCTTTAAATCCAAGGGGTCTGGCCATTGGGGTTGTAAGTAAGATAAGATTCTAGTCACTTGCCTTTTTCTTTCTCTTGAATCACAAGTAGTTAAATAATACACCTGAAAATAAAAGGGAAGATAATTCCCAAGTATATTTGCAAATTGTCTTTTTTTCTCATATCTGTATGCCTCTAGGAAGAAAATAATTCTTTAGGTAGAGAGATGTACTATAGGATGTAGAAATGATAGGGTATAGTTAATTTTACCTCTGATTGCTTAGTAACTTTGGGTGAGTTATTGTCATTTAGTTAAAGCAAATGAAAATCTTAAAAATTAACTGAAGTTGCCAAGGGTAGCAGAATCCAATTTCTTCTCTTATCTATATACTAGAGGCCCAGTGCATGAAAATTCGTGCACGGGGGTGGGGGTGGGGGGTGGTTCCCTTAGCCTGGCCTGCGCCCTCTCCCAGTCCAGGACCCCTTAGGGGATGTCCACCTACAGGCTTAGGCCTGCTCCCCAGGGGATCGGGCCTAAGCTGGCAGTCAGACATTCCTCTGGCAGCCTGGGAGCCCTTGGGGATATCAGTTGGACATCCTTAGCATTGCCAAGGAGGCGGGAGAGGCTCCTGCCACCGCCGCTGCGCTCACAGCCATCAGCCTGGCTTATGGCAGTGGAGCTCCCCCTGTGGGAACCCATTGACCACCAGGAGGCAACTCCTGTGTTGAGCATCTGCCCCCTGCAGTGCACATCATAGCAACCAGTCGTTCTATCTTTAGAGTCAATTTGCATATTGCCCTTTTATTATCCTATCTAATAATAGAGAAACATGGTAATTAACCGTAACTTCGCTACCCTTCCCATTGGCTAATCCACGAGATATGCAAATTAACTGCCAACCAAGATGGCGGCCGACAGCCACACAGCTGAAGTGAACATGAGGCTTGCTTGCTCCAGTGATGGAGGAAGCCAAGGTTCCCCGCCTGCCGCAGCCCAACTCTGAGCTCCGGATGCAACAATGTTGCAATTATAGAAGCTTAAAAAAACCCAGATACCTGCTTTCAGCCACCAGTGGGCTCAGAGCTTAGAGCGTCAGTGATGGCAACAGAGTTTCAATTATAGAAGCTAAACAAACCAGATACTTGCTTTCAGCCAGCCACGGCCTCAGAGCTGGAGCCGGCTCTCAGCTCCAATGACAGCTATAGAAGGTAAATAAATCCCAGAATAAAAAGAAAAAGAAAAAAAGAAAGAGGCTGGGAGCTTCAGTCGCCCGCCAGCCCGAAAATGGCCCTCAACCCCTCACCCAGACTGGCCAAGCACCCCAGTGGGGACCCCTACCCTGATCCAGATCACCCTTCAGGGCAAACCATCCGGTTCCCACCCGTGCACCAAGCCTCTATCCTATATAGTAAAAGGGTAATATGCAAACTGACCCTAACAGCAGAAAGACTGGGAATGACTGGTCACTATGACAAACACTGACCACCAGGGGGCAGACGCTCAATGCAGGAGCTGCCCTCTGGTGGTCAGTGTGCTCTCACAGCGGGGAGCTCTGCTCAGCCACAAGCCAGACTGATGGCTGCCAGTACAGCGGTGGTGGTGGGAGCCTCTCCCGCCTCCTCAGCAGTGCTAAGGATGTCCGACTGCAGCTTAGGTCTGCTCCCTGCTGGCAAGTGGGCATCCCCCGAGGGCTGCCAGACTGACAGAGGGATGTCTGATTGCCAGCTTAGGCCTAATCCCCTGGGGAGCAGGCCTAAGCCAGCAAGTGGTCACCCCCGAGGGGTCCCAGACTGCGAGAGGGAACAGGCCAGGCTGAGGGACCCTCTACCCCCGAGTGCACAAATTTTTGTGCACCGGGCCTCTAGTATAGGCTATAAAAGCCCAATATGCAAATGGTCCCTTTGGGAGTTCGACTGGGAGACATCGCTCACTATGACATGCGCTGACCACCAGGGGGCGGCACAGAACAAAGGGAGGCCCCGGCCGGCAGCTGGCAGCCAGGGAAGGGAGGCCCCAATCAGCCCTGATCACTAGCCAGGCCAAGGGACCCTCCCCATGCACGAATTTCATGCACCGGGCCTCTAATTAATTATATTTGAGTAAGTGTTCAAGAAAGGGACACTTGGTTGAAATAGATACAATGCAGTAATTAACACTAATAGTTTCCTCCACCTCTTTATCCTGAGTATTTATTTCATTTATTGAACCTGTGTTAGAGACTGTAGAATAGGTTGTTATAGTAACCACCTTTAGCTCATCTTAGAAATTAACCATTAGAGATTACACATTGTTATTTGTTTTTCTTGATCTCTTGTTCATCAGAGATCTGAAATATGGTTGATTAATATGGTTGACATTTTCTGAGTGGCCCTTGGATCTGAAGGATAGGAGAGGGAAAACTGGAACAGTATTTTTAGAGGAAGATTGGAAAGTTAAAGCCTCTCTCTTCCTGGTTTGTTTGAAGGATGACTGAGTTTTCTCCACTGATACCTGACCTGTAATCTTAGCTTTATTTAGAGAAAACCATGTTGTTGGTATAATACTACATCATTCAACATACTTGTTTGTTTCCTCCATGCTCAATAAAAATGAGTTTTCCTCAGAACTAACTGATCCTTTAGTGTTTTTTTATTTTAGCTATCTTGAATGCATATGTAAAAAATAAGCTATACACATTGTTTCTGAAATGATATACACTGTTGTGAAAATTACTTGAAAAAATGTTTTGTTATGTGTGATAACAAATGATATCTATTGTTTCTTACTAAGCTTACTTGGAAAACTTTCAAAAAAATCTTGAATGTCAAAAATAATTTTTTAAAAGTAAATGTTTTTATAGAGTTTTAGATGAATTTTAACCCTCAATTATTCAGTTATCAAAGTTTTGAAAGGAAAAATTCTCAGTTTGATATTTGTTATTCTATAAATTCATTTCTCTTACTAACTTTGAAGTTAATAAACAATGTAATCACCATTTCTTGCTGTCTGCGTTGCCTATTCAGTCCTTAATATTGGTTTATAATGTGTTTTATACTTTTTAATGAAGGGCTTTGCACCATTTATCTCGCCTGAGGGACCTGGTTGATGATACCAGTGGGAAACAGTCACCGAAAATGTGAAGAGGAAAATAAAAGTTTAACCAATAAATAGTCACCACAAAAACAAAAATGTATTTTTTTTCCTATTGCTTAAGCTGGCAGAATAATGATAAGCTATCCACTATTCTGATTGGTTCAATTATTATATATTTAAAAAACAAACTTGAAAGTGTCTGTAGGTTTTGTGACCTATCCTCATTTTATGCCAAAATACCAGAATGTGAACTGGAAGGACCTACACTATTCTATAGTCTGACTTTGGTCTTCAGGCCAGCAAATGTCTAATATTCAAAGATGGATGGATGATTTCCGTTCTTGAAGCTCATGTGGACTTAACCTTCCTCAGCATCCTCGCCATTTTATCGTCTAGTTGTGGATTAAGAAATTCTTCCTGGTTTCTATTTAAAATCTCTTAAGTGGAGTAGACTTTTTGTTACAGTTAACATCCACTTTTAAGGAACTTAAAGGAATATCAAAATTCTTGTGGTGTATCTTATCCATATGGAAGTATGTTACTTTTAAATTTTGTAAATCAAATATTTAAGATATGTTGTATTTGCAAATAACATTAATAATGGGGTGGTTCAGTGTTAAAAGGAATATTGTTCTATGTTGTGTAATCCAAGAGAACTTTGTTTAATTAATGCTTTGATTTGATTCTCTAAAAGATAGTCTTTTTTTAAGTTTTATTTTAGAGAAAGAGGAAGAGGGAGAGAGAGAAGGAAACCGATTTGTTGTTTCACTTACTTAATACATTCATTGGTTGATTCTTGTATGTGGCCTGACTGGGATCAAACCCACAACCTTGGTTATCAGGACGACGCTGTAACCAACTAAACTACCCAGCCAGACTTAAGATAATGTTGATATTACTTGACAGTTTACAAAACATTTTGTGGGGAGATATTTGAGAATTTGATATTTTGGTACTAGATTATTTACCAGATTTTAGTTTGGGGGTTAACTCAAATTAGTAAAAACTATGAGATCAGTGACCAATTGCTTTATGAAATTTTGTAACTAAAAAAGAAAATGAAGCCGAAACCGGTTTGGCTCAGTGGATAGAGCGTCGGCCTGCGGACTGAGGGGTCCCAGGTTCGATTCCGGTCAAGGGCATGTACCTGGGTTGCGGGCACATCCCCAGTGGGAGATGTGCAGGAGGCAGCTGATCGATGTTTCTCTCTCATCGATGTTTCTAACTCTCTATCTCTCTCCCTTCCTCTCTGTAAAAAAATCAATAAAATATATTTTTTAAAAAAATGAATATGGGAAATCGGAAAGCAATACTCTTTTTTTTTGCAATACTCTATTTTAAAGCTACTTTGTAAGAACTGAACTTTCTCTAAAGCAGTCTGTAGTCTTTAAAGTTTGTCTCTACCTGGAAGTGAGCAGAGCTGCATTCTTTACCACAAAACTAAGAATTTAAGTTATAAAGTGTGACTAATGAAGCATATGAAATTAAAGAATATCTATGTATACAAATGCTACAAATTAACTCTTTACCTAAATGGCAGCATCCTTACCAAGTAGCTTTATTGTCAAATAGGAATTTCTAAATACATTATGTCAGATAATTTTTTATTTTCTCTAAATGTAAAGCTCTATCTATATAAAACCTTTGTTATAGAACTTACTTGTCAAAAATGTAGAGTGAACCCTGTCTCTATTTTCTTGACCAGTGAGCCAGTTGTCATAGGGTTTTCTGTGCTCAGATTGAGAGTCTCTTGCCTCAATAAGTTTGTTTGGTTTCCTGTGTGGAGGTACCTGCCATGGACATTCTGTTTTCTGATCATCTTCCGGTCTTCTGCTTCTCAGCTAATAGTTTGCATCCAGTCAAACAGGCGTTATTTTGATGATTTAAAAACGTGGTTTAGCTGTTGCAGGTTTTTAGCAGGTGAACATCAGGTGGATCTGGGCTGAGCATGCTCCAGGCTTAGTGAAATCCACTGTTAGACAAATTCTGAAGAAGGCAGAGAAGATAAAGACATCATGTAATAAACTTCTAATTATATAATATATGCTGGTCAGACAGAGGATATACTTAGAAAGCATCTCCAAAGGGATTATGTGTAATGACCGAATGGCACTGGTTTGCTTACTGCTCCCATTTGCAAGAAAATATCTCCAATACTGAATAAGATAATACTGCTTTAAAATTTTATGTTACAACTAATATTTTAAGAAACTTGATTATATTTAATGGAGTACATTTTTTTGTTAAATATGGAAGTTAATCTTTTACCTGAAAAGGGAATAAATTTATCAAAATGATTAATTTCAGCCTTTAAAAAATATGTAGGAGAGTCAACTAAGAAAAAAACTAAATGATAAGTGTTCAAGAAATTTAAGAATTGATTTAATTTATTACATGTTAAATATTTCAGTTTTTGTTTTTGCTAATCTTCACTGAGGACATTCTTTCCATTGATTTCTAGAGTGGAAGCAAAGGGGAGAGACAGTGAGATCATTGATGTGAGAGAGGTTACTCTCCACATAGAATGGTTGCCTCTCGACTAGGGCCAGGGATCAAACTTGCAACCCAGTTACATGCCCTTGACTGGGCATCAAAACTGCAACCCTTTGGTCCAAGGGCTGTTGCTCTGTGCACTGAGCAACACCGGCCAGGGCTCTTTCATTATAAAAAAAATTTTCTTTTGTTCATTGATTTTTAGAGACTGAGATGTTGATGTGAGAGAAACATTGATTGGTTGCCTCCCATACGCACCCCAACAGGGGATTGAACTCACAACCGAGGTATGTGCCCTGACTGGAAATCAAACCCACCGCCTTTTGTTGTACAGGATGACACTACAACCAACAGCCACTGGCCAGGGCTCAGTATTTTTTATTTTGAGATTTCCTGGGGGAAAAGGGAGACTACAGTATTGACTGCTGAATTGGGAATATAAAGCAGAAAATGAGAACAATTAGATTTTTAAAATTGCATTGGGAATATAAAATTTTATCTTTTTCTCAGGTATATTAAAAATATTAAATAAAAAAATTTAATAAGACATTAAAATTTTTGACTATTAAAAAAATTTAACCTAATTCCAAAAGTTGAGATTAAGGGATAAGAGTGTGATGTATATGTGATGACAAAACTCAACTATGTTTTCTCTATTATCAATAAGAACTCTACTTTTAATTTTTTTCTGTGATAATTTATTTCAGCTTCATGGAGATTTCTGACCAAATTGAGGAACTCTATCTTGGGTTTGTTTGAGTTAATTGTCTTCTCTTTTTATGTTATTTCTTGTTGAAATTTCTATATGTGGGTGTTTTGGTATTTTGTATTTAATGTTTATGATACTGTCTTGTTAAATTACATATAGGTGTACCTAAATGTGCCTGAAGATGAGTCAGGACAAGATATCCTTTCTCCCACCTGTATTTTGAATACATACAATTACTCATACATTTGGATTTTTGTTTAAGTTTTCCTGTCACACTCTTCACTGTGTCTCAGAACCTATTTGATGGAAGTGCTATCGTGAAGAAGTGAACTTGCCAAAAGGCACGTGGCATGAAAGCAGACAAAAGAAGTAATGGGCCAATAAAATCGGTAATTTCTGAACGAAGGAAGTCTCTTCAAATGTGGAAGACGGTGTGTCATTCTATTCCCTCTATCAATTGGAAATTTCATACCTGGGTCGATATTCGTTTGGGTTGCAGTGCCTATCACAATGATTGGGACAAACCTAGGCCTATACCTGAACACATTGTAGAGCAATAATTGTCAGATATTTTTCCTGTGATATTTGAAGTTATTCCTTTCCTACTTCTCTGCTTCCATTCTTTTTTAATAGTCATCAGTGGTCAATAGCATTTTCCTTTTTGAACAAGAAAATCTTTGCTTTTTACCCTCCCAGTTTACATTATTGTTATCTTGACGGGACTTGTCTGTGTAACAACCTTTCTCACAATGTAACAAATTTAATATATATATATATATGTATGTATGTGTATACATATATAAATATATAGATTTCAGAGAGGAAGAGAGAGAGATAGGTACATCAATGATGAGAGAGAATCATTGATGGTCTTCCCCCTGCACGCCCCACACTGGGGATCAAGGCCACAATCCGGGCATGTGCCTTGACAGGGAATTGAACTGTGACCTCCTGGTTCATAGAGCCACGCCACCCAGGCAACAAATTTAACTTTGATCCATCCTTCAGTAACTTAGCTGAGACTAGCCCATTGGCCGCCTAATATAGCCTTAAACCTTTTTCCCTGCACTTTCAGCCCTTACACTGAAGACTCCACACGCCACCACTGGTTTATTTCATCAAATATGCTACAACTAAGTGCTCAGATTCTCCCACACTTTCCATGGAAATATTCTCACCTTTGTGTACATTACTCCCATACTCGAAACACTCCACTTCCTTTCACGTAGGTTATCTAAACTTTAGGTTCTAAAGCATATTCTGCTATTTCTTTAAAGCTCTGACCAAGTCTTGTATTTCCTGTTTCAAACATTTTACCTTCCAAAGGCTGGTAGATTACCTTTCTTTTTCCCTTCCCCTGTCACATTTACATTTTGCTTTTTTATTTTATTTTATTTTTTATTGATTTCAGAGAGGAAGGGAGAGAATAGAAACATCAGTGATGAATCATTGATTGACTGCCTCCTGCACGCCCCCTTCTAGGGATCCAGACATGTACCCTTGACCGAAATCAAACCCAGGACCCTTCAGTCCACAGGCCTATGCTCTATCCACTGAGCCAAACCAGCCAGGGCTGCTGCTGCTTGCTTTTTTTTTTTTTTTTTTAACTTGAACTGCGTGGATCTGGCTATTTGTTGGAATCAGAACCCATGAATTCACCCACACATTTTGCCAAATCCAATGGCTTTTCACAGGTCTTTATTCTTGCAGCTTTTGACAGCTGTCCATTTTCTCCCTAAACCACCTATTTCACACCACTGCCTGCATTGCCTGGGAAGGGTTGTTTTAAATTCCTGGTTGCCTTGAGTCACTTAACCTACCCACCATCAACATAGATACATTTTACTTCTACACTTTGTGACTCAGCAACAAATCCTATCCAGCGAAAGCCCCCTGTGGAAGCAAGAATTTCTTCAAATTTAATGTCACTGTAGGTTAAGGTGCAAATTCCTCCCCGAATTGCCTAGATCTGGTATAGACAGACCACACCAGCCTTTTCTCTCAACACGTTCAGATCCCGGCACTAATACACTTTTTTCTTTATCACACCAAAAGCGCTTTATTTCTGCTCATTATTATTGTTTATTCATGAACAGTAGTGGTTTTCAAGCTTCTCTGTCCTCCCCTAACTCTCCACTTCCTTCTACAAACACATTCCCAAGAGTCCCTGGGGAGGAGGAGAAAGCCAGTATGTGGGGCTGTGGCCTTGCAGCTCACCGGCTCCAATTTTTAAACCGACACGATTTTCTGAGGGAATATAGACATAGATATTGGTCCCCAGATATTCCTGAGCAGGTCGTCTCACCCCTTTTAAGGGCCATGAGGTTCTCTTGAGAAGGCATGGGTGGGTGGTCCAACCCGCTCGCCTTGGAGCGGACCCCGCCCCCGTGGCGGGGATGGGCCCGCCGGGAAGTGCTCAGCGGTGACCCTCGGGCCTCGGCAAGTCACGGAAGCCGCGGTTTTAGTTCCTGGAAAGTGGGAATGGCCTTCCTGGGTGATGTAAGGAAAGCACTCTGGTAAACAGCAATGCTGCTGATGTGAACCGCGAGGCGGAGCGGCTGCACGCCCACCCGCGGAGGTCCTCGCTTCCCCCGGCTCCGGAGCCCCGCCTCCGAAAGCCAGACGCGGCCGCT